ATTTCCTCATTAAGAAAATGAAGATAATAACAGTACTCACTTCACAGAAGTTGTTATGAGGATTAAATGAGAAAAAATATATAAAGGACTTAGCACAATACCTGGCATATAGTAAGTACTCAATAAACAACAGCTCTTCTTATGACTTCTACTAAAATCCTAATGCAGTGTACTAGTGAACTCTTCAGTATCTCCCACCAGACCATAATTTCAGGGAGAGCAACGTCTTCCCTGAAGGTCCAGCACTTAGCACGGTAACTGGTGCAAAGGCATTTAATAAGCATTTATTGAATAGGTTAATTCACGTGAATTCGGCCCATCACTGTTTCCTGTATGGACTAGATCTCCTTCAGGCCTAAGGAGAGGCTTAATTACCCCATGATCAAGCCTCCACCTACTCTAACAGTAATCTCTCTACAACCAAACCGAATTATGCCACTTCCCTGCTTAAAACCTGTCAGAGGCCCCTCCCGTCTGTGGACGGCACCGTGGGCCAGGTCTTTGGGGGGCAACTGCTCCTCTGGTTGGCACCCCACCCCCTCCGTAGCAGTCCCTCCGTCCCAGGGCTCCACTCACTGGCTGCACGGAACCCCTTGCCGCTTCTACAGCCCTCCAGGCTCTATCTCCTCAGCCTCAAATATCCTTCCTCCTTCTCACTACCAAGACACCAACTCCCCTTCCATTCCCCCGTCCCAGAGCACACAACCTGGGGACCCCGATGGCAAAGCTGGCCTTAAGGATGTATATTGTTTGGCTTCAAAGTGCATTTTTATAATGAATATTAGTTTAAATTTTGAAAATAAGAACATTTTACCTAAAAATTCAGATTTCTGGCTTCTCTTGAAAAAACAAGGAGGCGAGGCCTCACTAAGTCCCCCTTTCCGCAGGGCAACTCCTCCAGAGCTGCGTGGGTGGCCCCTTTAGACAGCTCGTGCTGCTACACTCTCTCCAGTTGGCCCCAGTTGCACCCACCTCGTTTTACTGCTTTTGTCATCTGCCTGGGCCTTGGAGACACCGAGGCTGCAGTCCCTGTCTGGCCTCACAACATTTTCCTCCATCCAGCTGCAGTGAGGACCTCGGCTTTCTCTCCTCAGCAGCCCCCTAGGTGGCCACCACTCTGTGTCCTGCCCCGTCCACTCTCCCCTGCTCTTCCACTTCTCGCACGTCTTTGTTCTGCCTGACCTCGCTCAGCACCCCCCTCCCCAGTGCCCCCCCTCACATCTATCACTCCTTTTCATAACTAGCCTACAGCTTATTCTCCATCT